GAGGGGCAGATTGAAGGGAAACGCCGACGCGCTCAGCCGCTTTTCCTGAGTCATTCTGGGTGCTCTTGATGAATCAAAATTGATATTTTAGTTTTTTTCGTGCAACTTATGTAAAATATGTAAGGTAGCACGTCTGGTTTCTCAGCGCAAGTGAGTCCTGAGAGTTCTGAGTGCGAACTTTTTATTAAAGCTAGCAATGAAAAATTGTTTTCCCGTCCCTCTTTTGGCTTGGTTTGTTCGAAGGGGGCCGAGTGCTTGCTTGTGCATGTGGTCGAGTTTCAGAAACGCTGTCGAAGATTTCGGCAGTTACCTAGACCATAGGACAAGCAAAGGCGAGTTCCTAGCATTGAACTACGGACCCTTTCGTCGTCTCTGCGAGCAGCAGCAGTGATTGCTGCCCTCCGTGACTCATCTGGCGAGGGGGAAGCTGTTATGACCGTCGTCAGTAGGCGCCATGCTGTCGCTGAGAAGCGTAGCCGGGCAGCATTCTCACGCCTGGAACCCCAGTTCTCTCGGAACCAGCGTCCAGAGCTGACGGAGAGCGGCGCTCTTTTAATCCTCAAACAAGTAGCCGACTGGCAGGCTGCCTATGCCCGCCAGGTATTGTCCCTGTCAGCCGGAGGATGAAACATCGTGTCGCCACGACGCCGTAAGCCGTTACAGAGAGGATAACAAAGACAGCGTCTTCCTTGGAAGAAACTGCGGTCGCTGCCACAAATCACCCTGCTAATTGAGCGGACAGATCGGCGGACCGTTTGATGTCTGCTGTCGGGAGCTTGGGACCCCTCGACCAGTGGCACACGCACGACGAAGAAGAGCCCCTCTGGCGCCACCTTGCAGTGCAGTGATCACGAGTAAATATAGGATGTTCACGTTGGCCGTGCATGCTCGCACCCCTCGCCTGTTGTGTGTGCGTGATTGGTGTTCCACTCAAGAAAGAGGAGCCCGACAGGGCTTATAGCAACGCCGCAGAGTGCGGGACGTCGCTCTGAACCATGTAACGGTTCAACCACCATGCTCGTGGTTTGTGAACTCCTAACCTTTCATGGTGTAAATAAGTGTAATTAGTGCCATAAACCTGTTTGTTTTTCGTATCCCCATCTTGTAAGCGTTCGTTTCCTTAACCCGAAGCTACACCACGCTACCGCTAAAGACCGGGCAGACCCTGGTCCGCAACAACGGGTCCTCAGTGCTGGGATCCACAACAATATATACACATACATATACTGTGAATAACAGCTTCATCGCCGGAAAACCAGCAGAGACTGTCTATAATTGCAATTGCAATAAGAAAAAGAAAAGCTGAATGTCATCGGAGGCCACACTATGCGCGCGCAGTGAAACTATGGACACGTTAATTGTGAGGAAAATGAAGAGTGAACAACATGGACACAGACACGGATACCGCGGAAAACTATTAGGTACAGCGCCCTTCATATGCAGTGCGGCCTGAAATATATGACGCTAGCTAAAATCGTGGCACTGCCAACGTGCACAAGTAGTTTTTTTTAAAGACAATAGTCTTTCTTGGGGACCTTCGACGCAAACATTTTGGTCTGTCTGTGTGTACATTTGTCTGTCCACTCTTAACTGCACAGGGTATTTGAAATGGCCGACCCCATCCACAGCGCCCACCCATATGTTGCTCAAGATTTAGCCTTCATACTTGCACAATTGTCAATTAATAAGCAATTATTGCACAAGCCTGGGGCACAATAACAATACGTATATATTCTGCATGTGCAACTTTTACTAGAAAATGCATACATAAGTAATTTTAAGGACTAGTAGCGCTTATCACGCTGCACTGACCATGCAGCGCTTGCACGAAAAAGTGAGTGTTTCCAACACTTTGCTAAGACGCGATGGTGGTGGCACCTACCCGTCGCCTTGCATTCCTCACCTTATCACCTCTGAGACGAGCGCGCACACCCGCATCAGAGCCACGCGCTTCGTTTTGCAATAAGACTGCCAGGTGGCGCTCATGTCTCACGTGTGGTGTGACTTGATGCGCTCGTGCGCCTCCACTGCAAGCTCGAGGCACTCTAACGCAGCGCCTCTAAAATACCATTCACCAATTTTCTTGCGCAGAACATTACACAAATTGTTCACTCTTCCCACAGGCAAGACTATTGTCTTTCGACGACATTTGCAGATTACATGCAGATACAGGGCTAATTTTTTTTCAGTTTGGATTAGGGGGAGGTGGTTGGGACATACTAGCGCATCCGACCGCGTCAGCGAGAATGGCAGCAATGTGATTTGTGGGGTGCAGGCCCACCTGCCCACATCACGCGGACGCGACCTGCGTGCACGCTGCCATGGGAAAAATTCGTTTGTATTAAGGTTGTCTGCCACTGTTACTTTGTTACATAGAGGTCGCAAATACATGTGCTTCTATGTAGCGATGGCGGGGAATAGAAAAATTTATTATATCGAGGAATTCGTTATATAGAGGTTCGCTATAAGCAGGTTTAACTGTAATGCTATGTTTTAATGGCAAACATCAACACATGCCATGAACTTTGCACAGTATGAAGGCACGGAACAGTTCTGCCATGCCATAACACGTGTGTGAGATTGACCAGTCAAAGTACAGTGAAATTGATTGGCGCACAGTAACAGTTTGATGGACAGTCATTGAAATCCGCATAGACGATTGCACAACACACAATAGCAACCTTAAACAATAGTCATCATAGGTAGAAGTGCGAGAAAAAAAAATGCATTTGTTATTATTTAGATGGCTGTTGCTTAGCAGAGTTCAGCTCCTGTACTGTATTCATTTTTTGGAGCTACGATTATGACATTGTGGGCCTTACATGTGAATTCACACTTAATTCAAGCTTCGAAACATCATATTTGTGGGTTCTAATCCAGCTGGTGATAATTATGCATCATATCTTAGAGGCCAACTGCCACCTTTTTTTTTACTTTTATGTACAACACAATGTGGGCCATGTAGCCCAAGGAGAAGTGGCAAGGTACAAAATTAGTAAGCGTAGAATGCTTAAATAAAATCTCTAACTAAATCAGGCTAACAAACAGCTCTAAATTAAAAAGGATGAGGAAACAGTGAGGATGTAATTCTGCATTGATTCACGTGAGTTCAGATGATGAAAAGGTATATCAGGTTCCATTTCTGAATAGTTTGAGGAAAATAATATTTAAAAACTGTGCGTTCTGGCAAGATAAGGAGAGAGTGTAAGGGAGTGGGAATGACTGAGTTTTCCTATTTTCAGAAAGGGTTATATAAGGTCTGGGATCAATAAAAAACTATACCATTGAAGAAAGAATGCAGAAACTTCAGTTGGAACGTCTTACATCTCAGTTAAAGTGTTTGAAATTTATTGGAATGTAAAAGATCAGTAACAGAATTGTTGCGGCTGTATTTAGAAATTAATTTCATGGCTTTTACTGTATTTTTTCGAAAGCATCAATACTGGTTTTGGTGAAAGGATCTCAAATAATACAGGCGTATTTTAATTTGGGTCTGATGAGAGTCGTATAGGCTAAAGTTCCGACGTCAAGGGGTGGAAGCTTGTGACGAAGAAGACAAAATTTTTTAAAAGCTGAAGAGGCGATGTTAGAAATGTGGGTGCTCCAAATAATGTTGTTAATAATGATCACTCCAAGATACTTGTACTCGTTAACTTCAGTCAAATGGTCTTGGCCAATAGAGTATGAAAATTTCAGCGACACTGTATTTTTAAGCTATTTGTAGGAGCTCAGATTCAGAAGAGTTTGGTTTCATGCTTCATTTATTGCTCCACTTAAAAATGCTGTTTAATACTTAACTAAGCAACAACTGATCTTCAACTGTGTCAGTATAATTAAAATAATGCAGTCATCTGAAAAAATACCTATACTGACAGGGGCTTGTGTGACATCTACTGTGTCGTTACAATAAATAAGAAATATTAGAGGGCCAAGAACACTTTTTTGGGAGATGCCAGAGGTTACTAAGAGAGGATCAGATTGCTGTCCGTCAATCACAACATGCTGTTTCCGATGCAATAAATAAGCAGATATTCAAGACAAGATGAAACCAGGAAACCCAGGGCGATGTAAGTTGCAGATTAATTTGTCATGAGGGACTACATCAAAAGTCTTTTCAAAATCTAGAAACATAACATTTGTTTGGCCACCTCTGCCAAAGACAGAAGCGAACGAATGAATGACTGCACCTAATTGGGTGACTCTCCTTCCTGAAGCCACGTTGAAAGGGAGTTGGAATTTAAAAAGTTATTATAGTCATATGCTCAATTACTTTGCAAGAAGATGATAAAAGGGAAAGCAGACTGAAGAAGAGTCGGCCTTCTTCAAATTGGGACTTGCCCTCTGTCGTTTCTTTTGCTTAGTGACTATCGTATTTCGGCGGGTGCTATTGATGATGGTAAAGTCAGTTGCACTGGCAACCAGGAAACTTTCATTCCCCTTCGGGGAAGATGAAGGGTCATCCCAGTGCTCGCCTCATAAGTCAGTGTACTTGGCACACCCCCCACCCCCTCTTTGTTCACAACTATGCATGTGGCAAAAAGAAACAAAATCGGAAAGCCACAGCAATGCGGTTGGGTTACTTGTGCACTTGGGGTTATACATGCTCTGAAAAGGTGTTGCTATCAGGTACTTAACAATCAGAATAGTGTGCGCCCACCAGTGCTCCTTTTTTCGTTCAGTTAACTTTATTTCAACCTGCTATGTGGCCCAAGCTTCTAGGTTCCAGAGCGAACCTGAAATATGCTACCCAATGAGAAAATGTTGCTACACATGATGGGCTTCCAATGTCTGGTTATATTGTCACGTGCACTTTTTGACAGCTGAAAAAGGAGACTCTTGCTGCGTTCTAAATAATGTTCTGTGTTTCAGCAATGCACCGGTCATGCCAGTTTGAAACTTGCTTTTACTCGCAAGCAGTGTACAATAATTCTATTCTTGTTGTGCTGGCACACCATGCAGCTGGCTGGATTGGCACCCACTTTTTTCTTTTGTCCATGCAGCACACTGAATCACTACATGATGTGGCGTCTCGTGATGAAGTACGCACCACACCTGGACAAGACCGTGCGATCTGAGTACTTCCGTTTCCAACGCCGCATTTTTGGTGAGCTTTCTAACGTTTTTTTTTTTACTCTTCTTCTGCTTACCAGCTCATACTAAATATGCAGTAGTAAATTCAAGTGCGACGCATTGCCTGTTTGAGCTCCCAATTACCTTCAAAATTCAAGAAGCAGCTTTTTATTTTATGCTTTAACAATGTCAAAAACAAGTTTGACATTGTTGAAGCTTGTGTTTATCGCATAAGAGCAGGGGTGTTTGTAGCAGCATAAGAAAGACAGCACACTAGCTGTTGGGAAAACAAGAATAAAAAAACTATTGGACATAGTACTGAACAAGAAGTGCAATAACCTGTGTGATTCACAGAGAACCGTCTCTAGCGGGAAGTAGAAGTAGGCTACAGTAATTATGAATTATGTGATGGCAACCTGTTCTGAATGAACAAGAAGTTACAAAACACACCTAATTAATAGAGAGTATCATTTCATAAATTTTTGCTAAATTAAGTTTGGATGCAATATTGAAAGGCAAGGTGAAATCAGTTGCACTGGCTTGACTGATCATGCGAGGCAGTCAGTTGCACTGGCTTGACTGATCATGCTTAGAGTGAACGGACACAGCAGACGTGGTCGGACCAACCAAACAACACACATATTTATTTAACTACATTTAGAATGACAATATCGTCAGCCAAATAATTATACATCAATTGTGCTCAAATATGCTAAAACAATCTTACACATAATTACGCAACACTCAACAACATAAACGCAATAACACACATAAGGTGGCTTTGGCAATGCTTGACTGACCACGTGGGCCCACTGCAGACGGCCCGCGGTGCCGTCCACGGCAGACCCATTGCTGGAGGCAACTGTTCGCGGCACCCGCCACCCGCAAAAGATACTAGCTTTTTTCTCCATCGCCGCCACCAAGGCTTGCCGCCAGGGGTCACTGCTGGCGCTATCAACCTAACAATGATGATGATGCTGGTGGTGGTGGTGGTGATAACAAACGCCCGCAATCACAGTCCCACCTACTGCTGGATAGTTGTGAAACTGAAATGCGGCTTATGCGTGAAACACTTGCACCACGAGGTGGAAACTACATTACAGGGGAAACTACATTACATTGACTTGCATTTCAAATAAATGCCTATGTGTCGATACTACAGTGTAGACTACTTATAGCGAAACTGCGTATAGTGTAGAACCGGTTACAAAGTGGTCTTTTTTTACTCCCGTTCACCTGCCCATAGAACCCTATGTATACGCATATTGCTTATTGTACAGACTCCCAAGATGAGAGATTGGTTAGAATGCGGTTGCTGGAAAATCTTTGTAACAAACGCGGTAGCGAGTGTGCGTCTAAAAGAAGGCGCGCTGAGTGCGCCACTGGGGAGCGAGCGACGAAGTAGTTATTATTGACTGAGTGATCCTAGAGAGAAAAAAAAAGGCACCTATAATTTCTGTCTGCCTCATGAATGGCACGGCACAGTGGCTTGTAGGGGAGGGATGAAAAAAGAATAGTAGAAAGATATAGATAAAGAAGTAAGACAGGCAAGCAACAAAAAAAGAAGAAGATAAGAAAGTTGGGAGCTGGTCGAAGAAGTCCGTCGATGGTGCGCCACCAAGCAGAAGGTGCACGGCGCCAAGAGGCCGTGGACGTCGAACCAGTGAGCAAGAGCTACACTGGCTTTCGGGGTTCACTCTGCGCCCCCTCCGAGCAAGAGGGAACGCGGAGTGAATAAACGAAGGACGGAGAGAAGAAAAGGAAAAGAAACCCCGGCATGCTGTGCAGGCTGTATGTAAGGAAGGACGGCAGTTGTCTCAGCGACGGATAAACCTGTTGTTAGCGTTTCTCCGGCTGCGCGCGACTCAACATGGCACGTGCGATCCCGCCCTTATCAACTGCCTTTAACGGTTTTCCATTGAAAGAAGCGTCATTATTGGGCTTGCTACAGATATTATGTTTGCTACCTTTTTTATAAATTTAAAACCTTTTATGGCTTTATGGCATGAGCTTTTGCCTTTGCTGCCAGTGTGCCGTCTTACGTAAGTTTGGCAGGTCTTTGTTGTTCCTGATGTCTCGGCTGCGAACGCAAAGTTCGTATCACACAGGCTGTTCTTGGTTCAGTGCTTGAGTGCAGTCTTTTCGACGCCGGGTCTTCATGTCTTGAAGAAACTTCCCACGACAAAATACCGAATGGCAGACTGGGCTTGATCTGCACTGGTTGCGTGTCGGTAGCAGTCGCGTGCAATATAAGTTGCAGTTTGGTACGGAATCAACGAAGTTTATTGTGGGGGCTGCACTTCACAGGAAGGGATACATATCATTAATGAAAACGAGAGTGGCACGAGTAACACTCAAATGGTGGTTCATGATTCGATTGAGATGTCTTGAAGTCGGGCGCACACCCATGAAATCGAATGATTGGCATCTTTCAGAGCTTGAAATTCCAGATGTGATTTGACACTTTATGTATTGTGCATAATTGAGGCAGTCTGAGGATCAGTCAGCGAATTTTTGTGATGGTACGTTTTGTTAGATCCCCCGCCCCCCGCTTTCGTGTTGATTTCGTCGGCAAGGCGTGTCTTAGGACAATAACTTTTTTTTTTTTGGCATTCAGATGTTCAAAAGTTCGCAAGCACCACGCATCACATGCTTCGATTCTCAGATACACGAGGCTGCTTGCCAATGCATTTTATGCATTGCGCTGCACACGTACTGCTTGTTCTTCATCACCGTTTCACGCATGTTTGGAAATGAACTTAGGTGTCCTCAGTGGTGGGAAACCTGCGCCAAATGAAAATGACTTTGCCATACTGCTCCAGAAGGGTCTTTTTGTCTGATTTGTGCCATTGCTATGCCGCAAGGTGGTTGTGGAACTGCAAGTAATGTCGACAGTACGCATCGTGAGCGGATATGACGTGATGGTCACCATCTTGCACACTTGCGCTGGTTCAAAACCAGAGAATCGGCAAATCAATTATATTGACTTCCGTGCGATTGCGGTGGTGGCTTTTCTGCTAACCATTGGTAAAATATAAAGGCGATGTGGCGACTACCGAAAACACCCCAGTATGACTTAGCCCCCAAAAAATGCCTACGTGTGTGGCATAGCGCCGCTTTAAGCCTACTGCATGCTTTTGATAGCCGGCGACTACCCTAGAGTGCTGCAGCGTCGATCGCTGCTGCCTCAATCGTCGTGCGTGACCGTGTTCAGCGTGCACCACTTTGCAGAAATGAAAACAGCTCGTTGTTGCGGAGTTGAGCATTGTGAATTACGGACACCGAGATAACAAGCATAGCAAACGTTTTCATGAGGCAACAGCTCAAACATGCCTTCGTCTGCTGCCATGACCATTCAGAGCATGGCTTGCCGAAGCTCACATCATTACGTTAAGGTAACAGGCTTCTGGCCGCCTCTGTGCACGGCCTGAAGCGGGGTGGGCGTAAAGTCGGCATGGTGTGTACGCCAAGTAGGCGAAACGCTGGACACAACTAGACAGTATACGATTGGCTCGCTGCGACCATACCGCATCCTAAAAATAAAAAGAAAGGAAAAAAAAATCGGCAGAACCCACGTATGTAGGAATCGACGTTATGGGAAGTATGTGGAGAGAAGGTGACCTAGTTGCAGTTTTTTTTTTTGTTGAGCGACACGTCATGAAATGACTCTTATGTACAAATGTTGCACGCACAGACATATGCTGAAAAGTGGCAGATGTTTATAAACCAGTTGTTTGCACTTGCACATCGATACCAACTGCAACATGCGTATTAGCAACACCAGAAGCTGATATGAAGCACTGATGCTTGCGAAGATGCTGGCCTTGGACACTGCTACATAAAGCAACTTCAGCGCCCGGCAACTAACCACAATTGAGCCCGGCCATGGTGGTCTAGTGGCTAAGGTACTCGGCTGCTGACCCGCAGGTCGCGGGATCAAATCCTGGCTGCGGCGGCTGCATTTCCGATGGAGGGGGAAAGGTTGTAGACCCATGTGCTCAGATTTGGGTGCACGTTAAAGAACCCCAACTTGTCAAAATTTCCGGAGTCCTCCACTACTGCGTCTCTCATAATCATATGGTGGTTTTGGGAAGTTAAACCCCACATATCAATCGGGCCACGTTAACCTGTTGTGACGGCTGTATCAAAGGAGCGCACATGCAATTTTTATAGAAGTAGGTGGGCAGCACTGCAACTACTATTGAAGATTAGCGTCTATTTGAAAAGTCGTTCTGAGTTCTGGCATACCTCTGCGGTAGAATGCTTGACGTTCACGCAGAATGCTTGGGTTCGATTCCTGCTGGGACCCTGAAATTCGTTATTTTCATTCATTGGGGGTTCAACGCTGTCCATTTCAGGTTTTTCTTAACACTGACATTTATTATATGCCATCATTGGGACGACACTGGCGATGTCGAGTATTTCAAAGCTTACGCGTCGAAATTGCCCATGTGTGTTCTCATTGTTCCTAGGTAGATACTAAGTGTCAATCACTTGTAGCACATACACGTATACCAGCTGCACATACCCGCCCGTTTGTATGTGCCGCTGTCTGACGGGAAGTGTCTGAGGACGTACGCAACTGGATTGTGAGATTATTGATGTCTTAACCAGCACGTAATATTCGTCAAAATATCTTACCCTCCGATGCTGATTTTGGTTCACGCCAAGTTAAGGGGGTGACCATGAGAGCACCCAAACGTAAGTGGCTAGATAAATAAATAAATACGCTCAATGTCGCCGAAGTTTACTAAGAAATGCTTCACATTTAAAAAATCCTGTCAGGTTTGCCAAGTATTAGGTCGTGGTACACAGTTATCACGGACAGCCGATTATGTCCGTTATATCCCTATGTCAGTCGCTGCGTTGACTGCGTATCCCGAACTCCGCACTGCCCACAGTAGCTCTTAGGTGTTGCCACCGTGTGTCATAAGACATTGGTGCGAGAATGCCAATCATTTCTGAACATTGTCAAAAAAAAAAGAGATGGCTTCTGGGTTTAATCGTTTAATTTACCAGTGCAGCAGTATATGCTGTGGCACTGTATTTATTCCTTCTTTGGTGGTGACGGTGCACGCAAATACATGCAAATTGGTACTTGGTCATAGGCGTGCGCATGGTAGGCGGGGGCGCTAGAGAGTGGGGAGGCGCAAAGTAAGCCCCATACATTGACAAGATAGGGAGGGGGGGCGCTGCGACTAACCTTCATCCCCCCACCACCTATGTACTTGGGGGTGCGTAATGCATATTACGTTTAGTGCGAGTTAGCCACGTTCCCGGCAGATTCTCAGCATGTATGTCTGTATTGCCACGCGCGTTTCTTATTTTCACTTTTGTTTGATTCGGTTTTCGCTCACAAAACCTCCATCAGGAATGCTCAGCCCACTGTACATTATTGTTCGAGAACGTTCACGATCCTTGTTGATTGTTCTGTTAAAATTGCCCGCTAGGCTAGAACACTCGAGATTATTCCAGATATACCTTGAGTGAAGACCAGTGATAAGGCTGGAGTATTCAATGGCACATTTTTGCATTTTGTGTTTCGTGGGTCAAAAAGCATGTACATATCGTTAAGCTTCTTTCTACACGTGCTGCAAATATTTTATTGTTAAGTGCTTAAAAATTTGATATTCGAGAAGTTTTCAGTGCCTGTTATTTCATATCTGTGTCGCTGGGGATCAGCGTGGGTGCATATATATAAGTATTTTTCTGTAATAAATTTAGTTGTGGGTGTAGCAAGTGTTGTGTTCTTGTTATTCTTGTCTATGTTAAAAACTATGTTACTTAACCTTACGGTAAAGTGATTAATCACCAACTAGCCTAGTTATCAACCTTATTGTTCCAAACTAGTGTTAACCATGTTATTTATACAGGAGGATGACAAGATTACAGAACATGAGCATGCGAACTAGGCTAAAAACGCTGGTCATAGCGATGAATATAAGCTGGATAGATTTTTTTTAGGCTTGTGCGAATAGTAAATTTTAGGTTCGAAGCAAATTTAAAGCAAATAGTGATATTAATCGAATTATTTCGAATCGAATCCGAATGGTATGTATGACATAAAAAAAAGGAATATTTATCACAACCCAACTAACTTGCACAATTTTTCTTTTTAATTGAAATAGGGGCTCTATGCAAATGCCTTTTTTTTTTTGTTCAAAAGGAGTCGAAACAACGTTGAGTAGTAGTTTTGCAGGATGCAAGTGAGAACCTGTAAGATAGTGAATGTTTTAAAATTTATTATACTTGAAGCATACAATCTGTCTTAACAAGCTTAATAAAGTGAACAATTGGTTTGAGGGTCACATGTTCCTTTAAAGAGCCCTGCAGCACTTTTTCAAGTAGTCATGGAGCCAGTAAATATGCTTGTTGCCTCACGAATTTACCGCCGCAAAGTTTCTAGAAGCAGTCCAGTAAAAGCGAAGTTCCAAAAATTTGTAGCATGCTGCAATTGCATTCTCCATTGTCGTCCCGTCAAAAAAGCTAGAAGCTAAGTAGGGAAGGATGGCTCGAAGAAAGAAAAAAAAAACATTGGGAGCACCTAGTGGCCTTGAGCAATTTTTCTCGCTGTTTTTTCTTCGATTATGTTGGCTCTCAGTGCGATCACGCACATACTTGTAAACAAGTGGTGGCCTCCAATGGCGGTCCAGCAACATCAAGCACGCCATGCTCATATCAGGCGATGGTTATGACCAAAGCTGTATAATCTTTCTTGGCTGTGACAAGGGATTTTTGAGCTTGTAGTGTCATTTGCCGAGGGAAGAGAGCAACTTTCAGCTTTGAAAATTCATTGTGAATTTCTGGCCGCGTGCTGCACTATAATACTTGCCTCGCATGTTCTCAGTTGCCTCGACTACAGATTGGCAGTGTTTTCTGACCATGCTCAGTAAGTGTTGCAGGGCCCCTTTAAATTTGAAGGGGGGCTTCGCGGCAGAGCACATTTTTTTGAATAGGTGCTTTCATGGTTTTTCACTTTTACATTGCAGTGAAACTACCTTTACAGGCAGACTATTATACACTTATTCGTTCATTGCAAATACTTTGAAAATATTCAATAATTTATATTAAAATCTAAGTGAATTCGAATACTCAACTATTCCTTTGAATATTCGAAGCATTGGAATATTTGCACAAGCCTTCAAGTTTTTTTCAACAGATCCTAACAACGTTATGTTATGTTTGTGGTGAGGTGACCAAACAACTACATATTCGAGTCTCACCAAACTGTTATGCGCTGTGAGTCAGCAACTTTTTTGTCGAATTCCTTAATGTGCGTCAGAGACACCAACATTTTCGGAAAAACTTGTTGCAGATTGTTTCTACATGCAGTGCGCCATTTGAAATTTCCTGTGAGAGTTACACCAATATATTTAAACTACATAACACCTACTAGACTTACAATGCCATTAGTATATGTAAATAGTAATGTCTGCTTCTTATTTGAAAGGCTGCGACACTCTTTTTGAAGTTTATGTTTCATTCCCATTGCAAAACAGTGAAAAAAAAAAAAAACACTTTTCAGAAACGCTTTTTTTGTCTTGAGTATTGGAGATGGTTCTACAGATAATCCAGTCATGTGCATACATTCTAAGTTTAATTTACCGATAATTTTTTCTCTATCATTTACATAAATACTAAAGAAAAGCGGAACAAGCACTGAGCGGAACGTGCAAATCAGAGCACATGGGCCCCAACAGCATTTTTGCTTTCATCGAAAATGCAGCCGCCGCAGCCAATATTCGATTTTGCGACCTGCGGGTCAGCATCCGAATGCCTGGGCCCTTATATACAGAAGAACTGCAAACTGTGATTCAAGACAGTAGTCAAAACACCACAAATACCGCCCTTAGACATCTTAAGGCTGCAGAAAAGAAGGTGAAATGATGTATTTTATGCCCAAATTACCTACTCAGGTTACAATAAGACAAGCGGCAGCACGCTGCAATTATAGCGAGGCGGCGTGTTCTCTTTTAGAACTTTGGCGGCAGCGCGAATGGCATAAGCAAATACGGGCAGCGGCGGCAGAGCGGCAATGCACAGCGCTACCGGGACCATTGAAAAAGCACTGCGAGAGGTTGCACACCAGAAGTCCTTTTTTTGGGCAGGCCGTTCGGCGCGAGCCAGTTTGTTTAGAAACACCAAAACCTTCTATAGAAAGTTTTTCGAGTAGACAGAATGGCCTAGCCACATAAAACGTCACTGCAAAAGAAAAACAAAGCTTGTTAAATCCTGTTGTTTTGGCACAGAGAGATGGGTGCCGGAGGAGGTTGGCTTTATAAGAATAGCTAAATGACGTCATTTTACGCCCAGCAGTGTAAATCGGTTGTGAAGAAAAAGAACTTTTTTTTTATTCTTGAAGTCATCCTTGCAGTTGGGACTGTGTCAGTCTCTAGCGTTGAACATCACAGCGTTTGTCTACTATATCTGTTGATAACCACATAAATGTATTTAGAGGCTGAATTGTGTGACAGGCAGACCAAGGTTTGTGTGTTCAAGTATCCCCAAAAAAACTTTTACCTTTAAAAATGTTGCTGTAGATGTGCATTATAATTAGCATCTTGATTTGGGAATAAAATGGTAACATATTATCGTACTCATCTGGCATAGATAACAATCAGCAAGGAGGTTGGGGCATCTTGATTCGCTTACAAGTTGGTTCATAATGGCAGATCGACTTGGCTTGACAATGTTGTGACAGGATTCCTAACAGAGGTTGTTTGCATTGTGCCAGGGGTCAGTGGCCATTAAATGTGTTGCCTCTGCCATCTGTGTGTTGCAGCTGCAACAATCACAAGATCCTGTGTTTGTAGGTTGCCAGCGTGAGAAGGATTAAATGATTGCACGCTCCTGGATGCAGGTGACGAAGAGCCCGAGGAAGAGTGGTGGGAGCAGTGCACTCGGCACACCAGCCACTACCTGCGCCATGCTGTGGGCTATCTTTATGCGACCAGGGCAGCTGGAAACCGCGTGCAGGAGACCATCCAACAGGTCAGCGAAATATAAAAGAATACTGGTGGCTCTGGCTTGAATGCTACGCTCACTGTACAGTGATGCATAGATGGCTGGGCTATGTGGTTTGGTAATGTGATACAGGTGAACAGGTCACAGGTGAGTAGAGAGACACCTACGATGCCAGCTTCTGTCATCCATGTACTGTTGCATGTGTAGTGGTATATTATCAGCAAAGTTTGCATGGCCTCATGAGCATGTATGGGGTCCAACATCACTGTGTCTCTTTTCTTGCACTTTGGCATCTGTCATAAAAAACAAAAAGGTGACTTTGCACAAACAGCAGGGCTTATTCCTAGTAAATTTAGCATTTTAAGTTGCAGCTTTTGCTGCAGCTGCAACCAATGTCATATGCCTATAAAAAAAAATGTCTAGGGTCTCATGGGCAATGCAGCTAAGGAATGTATTTACAGAAAAGCTGACTAGTGTACCAACATGTGGTTCATGGCGAATGCTGTCTCTGATCTTCGTCTTCTTCTCTGTGTCTACTCGCACTATAGCATGATAGAAGAATTCTTCAACATTCTCCGACCCTCGAAAAGGTACACAGTTCGAGTCATCTAGGACAACAAAAATCCTATGGGGTAGAGGTGTTATACTGCTCCTACTATGACAAAGCCATTGGTTAGTTTTCACAGAACAGGCTTTAATGTTCTGACCTCAGTCCTCGCTGTCACTCTATGATTCTTTTAGTCTTCCAATGTTGTCAGCAGTGCTTTATCTTCATACACGAGCACTAAGTCACTCTGCTTAAGACGGGCAGAATTTTGAGCTTGAACACTATCGTGGTGTGCAGAACGGAGGCTGACAAGGTACTCCTTTCTCCAACTGCTGCAAAAGTGCTCAATCAGCTCTGCACGGTTAATCCATATTCTCATAAGTGTCGCCATTCAGCTTGAAATGTGTTAATCATGCTTGTGGTAGGGAATGCCAGTGATTCTTTTACCAGTCAAGAAATGGGCTGGGCTCAGTACTGCTTCTTTTGTAATGACGATAAGTATGTGAGGGGCCTGGAATTCGTCACGGCATTCACCTCGTACAAAACTGTGGTTAACTCTTTAGGTGTGAGCCTTTGCTGGCCGAGAATATTTCACAGGGTGCACTGCACTGTTCCTATCATTCTTTCCCAGAAGCCCCCGCACCATGTGGCCCTTTCTATAATAAACTTTCATTCAAGCTTTCTTTGAGAGCAATATTCTTGAAGCTTGCCATTAAATAATGCACTCGACAAAAAAGTGATTTTTTATAATCTTTTTAAAGGTTTGTGTATTGTCTCTATATATAACAGCAAGTTATCTATGACGTGAAGTGAACCTTCAAAAGTTTGCCATGAAGCTTTCGGCTGATACACTGTAAATCAGTTAAAAGTATATAGCTCTTGTGACAGCACACGGGAACATAGCTGTGTAACTCTACAAAGATGAACTGTCCACTTTCACATACAGCGGACCGGCGAAATTTATTCCCACAGTCTGAAAAAAATCAGAGCAAACACACTCTTTCTCTTGGTAAGGGTGCCACCGGGGCACTCGCTGGTTTAGCTCTATGCTTCGCTCATGAATTACATTCACCAATAATTTTCTTTACAACCTGTCTTCAGCGAGGTATCCAAAAGTTTTCTTTAACTTCAGTAAGCGTGTCTTGTATACCTCCACGACGAACTTGTCGATGACAGTCACATACTAGAAGTTTAGTGAAGTCAAGATGTGGAAGCAAGAGAATAGCATGCTTTACTCTTTCTGTTTCTTGAGTCAACTGTTGCCGGCTTCTTACATGCAGTCGCCTTTCCACATTGAGAAAAGGGTAGAGCGTCTTGACACTAGATCGTTGGTTTAGCGATTTCCCTTTCTTGAGGTCGTCAATCTCTTCCAAGTATACTTCTTGCACTGCCCTAATCCAATAGTCTTCGGCTTTGTTCATATCCTTCTCTGTTATGCTCGCATATTTCTCTTAAGGGTGTGCATTTTGGCAATTCCGGATAAACATAAAGACCCAGGCTGTAGTTAGCAGGACTTAAGTGAGAGTGGAGTATCTTCCCAGGTTGAAAATCGGCCCTAATGTTTCAACATATAAAACTTGCACAACGGACTCGCTCAACTCTGTTTCAGTACCCGGTGCAATCAGCGTTGCAATCATGTTGCTTTCTCTTCTCTTTACTAGGATGAACCTTGCCCCTATAGTTTGTCTCGGCTCAGGAATTCCAATGACATGCCCCATATAAGATAATCTGCAGAGTTATTAGTGCCAGGACAACGTCGCCAACGAGTTTTGTCAAAGCTGCATTGAATTTCTGACACCTTATTTTGAACTAACTGTTGCCATTGAGATGGCACTCCTCGAATCTAATGCAGAACAATGGCGGAATCACTTCAGAAGGTCATTTTTATATTCTGTACAAATGCCTACAGCGAAGGAACGTCACCAACCTAGTTGCAAGCACCGCTTCCAGAAGTTTGAGTTTGGGCAGCGTAACTTTGTGCAAAGGTGCTACTCTTGACTTAGCCATTAGGAGGACCGTAGCGACGGTTTTGCTTTGTCTAACATATCTCAAGAACGCGCTGGCTTTCTGACCAGCATTACAAAACAGGTGTACTTGCGTAGTTCCATCTCCTAGAGAAGCATCTACCCAGCAATTAATGGCTGTCTCTTGAGTTTGATGCAATTCTGGACATCATTTGCTCTACTGTACTCTACTCACTTCGTATGAGGGCATGGCGCGGCTTGTAATAGATCCTAGACAATAGCGTGTCACTTTCTTCTGGTTCTTTGGACACCCGCTCAGCATGTCCCGTCATCATATAATTGCTGATGGTCGACTCGTATTCCACTGTTGAATCGCAATCGCGCTTTATTTTCTTTCCGAGTGACAACAGTCTCTTTAGAGCTTTCTCTAGATTACCGTCAAGCTTTTGGCGGTCTTCTTTCCGTGGGAGAGCAACCTTATATCGACCATCAACAAATGAGAGTTTTCTTCGAAACTCTTTCAGGACTGAAGCATTGCGTTTAGCTGCGCTGTCTTTCTCTGATAATATTCCAATGCTGTCAAGTTCCTAGAACTTTCATAGTACCTTGTAGGTCGTCTCAGTTCAGGTGTTCACTTGTGAGGCTAAGTTGACCAATGTACTAAAAAAAAGTAGCCCTTGAAACATCCATTCGAAGGTAGAGAACCAAGAGAGACCAAGTCTCGGTTATCGGAGCAACGTCGAATCTCTCCTGTCATGAACTACCACAAGTGATCCACTCCAAGTAAGAAACTTATTCGAGGTACAGTGGCCATTCCAGGGGAGAATAGCTTGTCAGCAATGGGTCACCGACTGTCTTCCATCTACCTTATAAATTCGTGGTTCACTGTTTCCTGTACTACGTCATTGCAATTGAAGGGAATCTCAATAGCTTGAATGGAGTGTTCCGTGCTGTGGATTTGAGTATGGAATCAAATTTCTATGATGCGGCGCAGCCTTGAATGGAACTTTGCCTGTTCAAAGATGTTTATACTCGGGAGAATTCGTCCTAGTTAGTTTCAGTCCGAGCACCTTAGAAACATTTCATATAAAGGTGCGTTTGCTACCACTGTCCGCTATGCCACGGATGTGGGCATACCATATTTACTCGCATAATCCTTGCACTCGCATAATTCTCGCACCCCCCACATCGCTCAAGAAAAATTGCGATTTTTTTTTCCTCGAGTAATTATCGCACCCCCGAAAGCTGCCGCAAGAATGTCGTCTGCTCATTCCAGCCATTGATGGTGATAGTGAGCACCATCTGGCGCCATCTCTTAAGCATCAAGCGTACTATTGCACAAAGATTCAATTCAATCCAAGCCAAGCCGAAGGGGCCAGTGCACGTGCGGCGTGTTTTGTATGTTGTGTCGGTAATCTTGGCACGTTATGGGGCAATACTGAAGTCACACGGCTGCTTCAAGTTGCAAGTGATGGATCATGCACTAAACGGCAACAGGGCCGCTGGTAGGCCCTTCGGAGCCTACAAGTTTTGCGTTCGCTACTGGTGACAGCAGCTGAAAGCCACCAAGACGCGTTGGGCCTGCCGTGTGCCTGAAACTGGGATTGATTGTAAACTTTGTTTCTTCAGAAGGAAACTGCGGACGATCCTGTTAAATAGCCATCAGCCCAATACTGACATTCTACGCTTACCTTTTGAGGGCTCCTGTTGCGCGATGAATGCTACTGCTACGGCCGCAACACCCACAAGCTTTGCGTTTGGTATTCTAATTCTCGACTATTTGCTTGCACTTTTAGTGTCTCAAATAAATCTTGGCTTGTGTTGAACCAGTGCTCTTAATGTTGAGGTAAGTTTTAATTAGTACTTCTCAAAGCTTGCTGTAAGTTGCTAGTGTGAGAATCCTGATTCGCGGCCACTTCGTTTTTTTTTCGCTCTCTGCGTTTTCGTGGAAAGTTTCTTTCCCCGCGTAATTCTCGCACCCCCCAACATTGCATCGATTTTCTGGCAAAAAAAGTGCGAGGATTATGCGAGTAAATACGGTACTACTTTGTGTGCCCTATAACCTACATTTGAAAGTTTTGCAGAAGAACGTCTGTGCCAAGACTGGCATAAGAACTTGTATGAAAGCCGTCTGTGGGGACTGTATTGGGGTTACTTGGATTTTTGAGGCTTCTTGGGCTTCCATATCAGATCACACATTGAAGACACGTGTCTTCCTTGGCATTTGCTACATTCTAGCTTTCATTGGCAGGTTATGGCACTGGTGACTTACCATACAGCTAAGAAAACAGTGGTTTTCGGAAGTCCCGCTTCTTCAGTTTTCATTCTCTGCTTATATTGTAGGTACAGTCATCCATAATATAGTTCGACTGAACCACAGAAGAAACACGCCTTGTTGTCTGTCTTTGAAGTCGTGCACAGTGCTGCTGCAGTCGGTGGATGAGAAGATGAAAGCACTGTTCACTCCAAGGCAGGGTGCATCTTTTTTCCATACTCAGGTACTTGAGCAAACCTTG